ATATATATATATATATATATATATATATATATATATATATGAACAATGACTTGCAGACAGTGTCCTAGCAGCTGTCACGCATAGTGTGCAACCGTCAGAGAATGATGGACGCTAACAGCTCTGACGCTATTGCGATGTGGGACGTTGAGTGCACAGGTTAAAAGCAAAAACACTACACACAATGCGACGTACCCAGTAGTGCGAAGAAAAAAATATTGTCGGCCTTTTTTATTACACACTTTCGTGTGATGAACAGCAGACGGGCTAAATCCCATTGTCTCGAGGACCTGCTGTTCAGTGATGGAAACTGGTAACCTAAGCGCCGGGACATGGAGTGGTGAACCACATAAGGACCTGATAGGTTAGGCGTGGTATTAAACCGGATGACAAATGGCTGCCTACCACCAAAGTCGGGTGGCGGTGCTCGAACGTCGGACCATAGGGTCCAAAGCACGCCGGTGACAGGGCAGCAGAATCTTTCGGGTACCAGTGGGCAAAAGACATGACAATAAGCATCAATGTTCCTCACACAAACACAAAGCCTAAAATTTAATCAAACACCATATCCCAACCCGATATGTTTCGGTCGTATGTACGTTACTCGAGTCTTAAACATGCCTGCAGTTAGAATCTTTACAGTGTTATTGTCTGTACCGGAGAATCCGACCATAAGAAATGACTAATCGTCGAGGTACACTATAGGGATAGGCGTCCGAAATTCCGGAGTACCCAGTTCATCATTCGACGGAAAAGACACCTATCGCAAACAGCAATGTTGACTGCTAGTTACACGAGAGCATATTCATTACACTCAAACAGATAAACGATGCTCTAAGTTTCAGTTTCAGTCGTTATAACCATGAAACATGCACTTTCAGGCGCAAGTTTCGGTTGCTGTCTTTTGGCTGCCCCATTGGATCAAAGGGCACGATAAAGATTGGATTTTTGAAAGCAAATCCAAGCGGAAGATGGGGAAATTCATATAGAATGCTATTAGGGGAATAATGAGCGTATTCCCGAGCACCACTGTTTGCGACACCCAGCCACATCACTTAGTGACTCTAACCATCGGTTAGGATCATCCCTAGGTCGCATAGAGGTAGCCTTACGGGGACTACGTGACCCAGTCTCTTGGTTAGGGTTTTCATATCCTCATACCAGGTCTTCTTTTGAAAACCCTGGATCTTTTTCCAACCTGTACCTGCGCCGGCAAACATTGCTCGCCGTGGTAACCTGTTTGGTGACAAGCGTAAAACTTGCCACAACCAACTTGATCCATGGAGGTCGATCACTAGCTCCAGTGGACGACCGCGACTGGTTGATGTCTACGCCTAAACTCAGCATTGCTCGTCCAGTTACCCCATCAGACTGGCGCAAGGCGACGTAGACAGCGGTTTTCGAACACCAACAATCTATTTTTATCCTGTTCCCGGGGTCTCTGCATGGTACAGCAGGACTTGTCGAACCGATACAACATAAACTGGACCCCTCACAGACAGCATTTTGTATAAGCACCGACATTTCATCTGTGATGCGTCCGCCAGGTGAGAGATAGCAGCCCAGACACCAATATTTGTATACTTCCTCTATTACGTCCCCAGTCTGGGTGAGACTAGGTGCTGGACCAACCCAGTCTTGTAGCAACATTTTACACTTTGAAGGTACAAAACGCATAGCGAAAATGGCACGCTGGCGATCAAGCTATCCAGTTTCTTCGCACAGCAGCACAATGTCAACTGCATACTTCAGATCAAACAGTATGCCGCCTGACAATAAANCAATAAATGAATGCCGCTATTCCCGCACGAGGATAGGGCTGTTTCCATAATCAGATATATATCAAAGTTAAATAGAAAAGGGGAGAGAGGGCAGTCATGACGAACACCACTTTTTGATGTGAACTCGGGTGAAAAAGTGCCGTAAGCCCTAACTTGGCTTCGGCTATTAGTATCAAGGGATTGTAAGATTGAAATAAACCTCTCGTGCACAACCCTCAGAGCGAGACAGCGTCAAAGTTCAGAGCAGTCGTCTGATTCGAAAGTCGATTTCAAATCCAGTAAGACAGTCGGTAAAAATGACGGAGGAATATATAATCCAAGAAAATGAACTTCGTCTAGCTACACCCGCTGCACTGCGGTGAGTTCTTCTTAGAACTACTGCGCAAATTTGGAAGCTAAATTACGTTCCTTCATCTTGAGGTGAATCACTGATCGTTCCCATTTTCAAGCAAGGATTTCGCAACGATTGCAAAAATCACCATGGGGATCAGTTTGATCCCGATCGTCACCAAAGCGTTGGCCTCGGCCATATTCCGACATCTGACTTCTTTGAGAGAGATCGGCGAACAGCAAGCCGGATTCCGGCCTGGTCGTGGACGGATCAAATTTCTACGTTGCGTCAGATCCTTGAGCTGCGTCACCACCACCCACCATCAACCAACGATCGCAGTGTGCTTTGACCTGAAAGGAGCCTCCGACTCAGTTGACCGCGAAGCTCTCATGGACTCGCTTTTTGGAAAGCGGATGCTCCAGAAGTACGTTACCTACTGAAAGACCTCCGGTCGTGCAAAGGTTTTAAACAATCTAAGTGGGCCGTTCGTCACGAGCGGCGGCGTTCGTGAAGAGTACCTTCTCGCCGTTCCCGTTGCATACTGGAGAACGCACTAAGTGGACTCCAAAACGTAGGTATTGAATGGACAGGTGGAGAAAAGCTGTGCGATTCAGAGTACGCCATTGACATAGTCTTTCTGTTCGAATGCACGGAGGTAGCGCGAAGCATACTTGATAGACTAACAAGTGCTGTTTCCACATTCGGTATGTGCTTTGAACCCTCAAAGTACAAAGTGATGCTGCAGGACTGAGCTTCTTCTACTCCCACTCTGAAACTATATGACCGGGAATTAGTTACGATGGATTACTTTTCCTACCTAGGTGGTTGCATGACCAATGACGGTAGCGCAGCAAAGGAGATAACTGCCCGCATTTCCAAGGCTCGAGCAGCATGTGCAGGACTGAAACACATTTGGCATAGACGCGATATTTCACTGAAGTTGAAAAGTCGTGTATATTGTGCTAGCATTCATTCCGTTCTGCTTTATGGTTGTGAGACCCTGAAGTTGCGAGTAGAAGATATCCATCGACTGGAGGTTTTCGATTACCAAAGTTTAGCCTACGTTGGATGGAGCGAATGGGTTAGTCACGTGGAGGTAAGCTGTCGTGTGTTTAGGAATCTTTCAGGTAGGAATACGCCTGCTTGCACACCGAATTCAGATTAGTAGACTTCGCTGGCTAGGACATGTATTGCGTATGCCCAGCTGTCGTCTGCCGCACCTTACTTTTTTCACTGTAGCTAATCCGCGCTGGAGGAAACCACGTGGATGTCAACCGGTGACGTGGAGACGAGGCATGAAGAAATGCACAGAGACAATGGGTCGAGTAGGTGTCACGCGCCTTCCAGGTTCGGTTCCGAAAGACTCCACAACCGGTTGGTTGGAGACATTGAAGGATATGG